CAAAGTTATAATGTTCACAAACTTGGCGCAACTGATCCTTTGTCAAATTATTCAGAACCTCCAGAGATGGAGCTACAAAAAAATCCTCCAAACTAGCCATAAAAATTAAACTAATTCTACAGCATACAATTCTTACAGATAACCTACTAAAGAAAAAAAACAAGCTCACCTTTTCAAATTGTAAGTGTGGCCACAACACTGTGCATCAAGACGAGACAAAAACGGAGCTGCCCTATAAAAAAAAAAGAAAAACAACGATCCTCTTCATGCCTATCCCAAGGACAGAGATTTTTAATACACAATATCAGCGGTGCCTTAACTCCCCCGACAAAATGCCGTTAAAGCAGGCGTCCACGACGGTGCCCTCTGCCCAGGATAGCACAAAAATAACAAACTAAAATAACAAACAAACATTAAAACTTGACGGGCACTCGCAAAGCTCCGATGATTATCTTATCGAATACTTTATTAATAACTCAATCTTGCACGCGCAGTGCAGACCCACACTCACCCAACAATGGCACAACGCAAACTCTTCAACCTGGCTTCCTTCAAAAACAGCCCAGGCACAAATTAAACAAAAATATTCTCCTCCTCTCCGCACCACTAACAAAATATAAATTAAATAATTTTGAACGCAACTAATTTCAAACTAATCCACATGCGTCTTCCCAATGATTCAAAACAAAACGTTCAACTCAATGAACTATCAAAGCGCTTTCCAAATCAAACGTATACCTAAATGCAACGGTCCTAATATATTTAAAGCTTCTAACGCCCAGGCCATTCAAAACCTAGATATAAGCATCAAAAATATATTTACCGATGTCGTTTCAAATCCTTATTTTGACGAGCCCCCCAGTCTGTTTGTCGTTTCAGATCCCGAACGTTCAAATCCCTTGACGAGCCACCAATCTGTTACATACAGCCCGTGCCGGCCTATGCAACAGAGAGGGGAGACCACGCGGATTATATTATTTCAAATGATATATTTATTAAAGACAAAGAATGAGTAACATAAAATAATTAAAGTCAGTATAAATGTACAACTTGAAACGAAAACAAAAGCGATCAGGGTATATGAAGTGTCATGCAAAAAGGAAAACAAAAATCAGCAAAACGGTGCGGGAGAGAAGGAGAAGCGGTGGCCTCCTTCAACCAAGTCTGGAAAGCTTTTAACACCCAGGATACTGGAAGCAACCACACGCGGTCCTGGAGCAATCATCTGCAACACACCACACCTGCGCTCCTCTCACCTATAGGGGAGACGTAATGAACAGCAAACCGCAAAGGAGGAGGAGCTGACTGGTCCGAGACCGTCACATTATGTAATCCTTATGAAATGTGCATTTCTCTCTGGGGCGTTCACTACTGAAGATCGCGAGTTAGCATCGTCAACTTCATCTTAGCCGACAAAGAAAGCACTTGTTTATTAATAAACAACTAAAATATCTCCTTGCTATATTTTACATATTCATAATCATTACTTTTGCCGGTTCTTTGTGACAGCTTTTAGGTGCTTTATTGGCAGCGCCAGCCTTACAGGTTACATGAGTCGCCACCGCATCACCGCACCCACCAGAATAGGCCTGTATATATACAATTCTGGCTATATATATATATGTATATGTTGCCCCCTCATTTAAAGACGGGACCCCCCAAAAATAAAATTCTGGCTACGCCCCTGCTCCCATATAAAAAACAAAAAAATGACAAGACAATTCTGGCTCCATAGCTGTTTACTCAATTTTATCAAATGAATGATCAGGATGGCAGCTGTACTCTCGCACCGTTGCTTGGCGCCAGGAGCGGTGATCGGGAACACCTGGTTGCGCAATTAGGAAATCCTACGAAGGCTACATGGTGCGTCCTTCGAAGGACAAATAGGCTGCAGCCTTCACATTGGGACACAGCTCCGGTCTGCAGGCATTTTAAAGCTGCCGTCGGCAACATTTTTTTGATCATATTCAGTGAAATCGACACTATAATCTGACAGAACAACATAAATAAAGTGGTTTTAGAAAAAACCAGAGCTTCTAACTCCACCTGGAGCGTGTTATTTGTTTAGCAAAAATCCACAGCTCCCGGTTCATCATGTCCAATCAGCGCAGGGGGGTGTGAGATCTGACTGTCAATCACAGATCGGGCACACGCCACCCCTCGCGCACGCTACAATCACATGCACACGCCTGAAGTTCGCGGAAGTTCGCGCAGTAATGAAGAGTGATGGCGGAAAATCAAGTAAGCTCATTTAGAGTATAAATGACGTTAGCAATTGCAATCTATCGGTAGATTAGCCAGGACAGCATACCTCCAAATACTCCATGGTGTTGATGGATGCTGATGAGACGGGTGCGTTCACTGAAAATCTGGTGCACACGCACTGACGAGCACGAACTCGGTGGGAGGGTATCCGTTGATAGTGGGGGAGGGGCATGAGAGTTGTAAACATTCGAAATTTTCCTAAATCCACTCAATCTGCCAGACTTGCCGACTGCAGCTTTAAAGTGTGTAAAACTAACTTAATTTCAAGGCCTATATTTGGGAGTAATACTGGTTATATGTTTGAAGACATTTTTAAACTAAGTCTGGGTCTATTTCTGGTTCTACGTCTGCATCTCTGTTTGGGTCTATGTCTGGATCGAAATCTGGTGTGTAATTTTTTGTCGTCTTTTTTTTGTTGGTACATCTATGGACCCTTTAAAGCGTGTAATATTAGCAACTTCATTCGTTACTGTATGTATGCTCAAGGAAAGTGCTGGCTTTTAGGTCTAAGTCTAGGTTGTGTCTAAATCTAAGAATGCCACTTACACATTCTTATAAATCTGAGGACTGGGAAACATTTCATACTCTATTGGATCTTTTTGGAAATCAACTGCTATCAAGGAACTCATGAAACCTGTATTTTTTTCTTCACAATGGGCAGTATTATAAGCCCCACTTTCAAAAGCCTTTCCTTTGAATGTCTTAAGTGCCATTCAACAGAGGCACATAAACCTGGCTATTTAAACCCTGACACACACCCCACACATTTACATACAAGCACAGAAATAGGAAGTAGATAAACCAGCATGTTTTTAGGCAATGTCAGTGGGAGGTAAGTTTGCTCAGATAGCCGTGAAGCAGCAGGAGAGACAAAAACACAAAAGGGAGTTGTTTTGCCCTCTCATCTTCCCCTTTCCTTTATATTTTCTGTTTTCACTTCTCTTGCTCTTGCTCTTTCTCTGTATACCATTTGGGTTGAAGTAGACTGTGTGCCAAAGACTCCTCCGTACACACGGAGTAAAAGCCCGGCTCTTAAAGGATCGGGCTGTACTTTTCCCACTGGGAGCGTGGGAAGGCTGACTTGTGTGGTAGCGGCAAAGAGATCTAACGAAGGACTCCATTCTCTCGTAGCTTCACAAAGCACTCCCACGTCTTTATTCACTCACTTTGCGTGTGTGGCACATAACATATATTTTATTGGGCATTTAGCTGTGTGAACAAAATACACATGGAATGGAAATGTGGAGGTTTCTTTTCACAGATGGACAAAAATAGCTCCTTGAGCGTATTTGTGCAGTGTAGTTTGCTGTTGGATGTAGAATGGAAGAAGCCCATTAGTTTACAGATTACTGCACAAAATCGTTTTTAATTGGTAAGACAGAGTAGTGACAACGGATGTGCAAGAACACCAAAGTGAGAGAGTGTGAAGGCAGAGATGAAGGACAGATGGAGAGAGAATTTAAGTGGAGAGGACAGAGGCTTTGCAGGCGAGACATCATCAGGAGATCAGCCGAATGCATTGAGGGCCTGAAGTCTCTGATTCCGACTTGAATTGGAATTTAAATTATCTCTGTTTTTTCTTCTTCTTTTTTTTGCGGAGCTGAAGCAGCCGGCTCTTGAGGGGAATTGAGTGCCGTGCACAAAGCTGATGTGATATTTATCAAGCATATTTTATCTGTAGGACACTTTTGTTAGAGACACCTGCTTTTTCTCTGTAATGTTTGGGTGTGGTATAGTTGTTTTCAGCATTTAAACTGCATCATACTCCGCAATCAACTTACAGATTGTTGTTTAAGGGTCAATAACGTGACACTCTTAAATATAAACAGTAATTTACAAACAGATTATGAACTCAAAGAACTCAAACTCGGGGGAGCACAAACATTTTGCAAACACAAATGTCTCACGGGAAACGAAAAAGCATTGACTTATTATTTTTCCTCCCATCTCATTTTTTTCCATGTTACTTTTAGGGGTTCTGTAACACGTTAATGCAGAGATTTCTTAACTTATTTTAAAATAATTTTCTTGTCATAATCTTGGCCATCCTTGTTTGTCATTGACCCTTAAGCTAAATGCAAAATTGTAGGTTACTATTCACTTACTATTCATGACAAACGTATGCCATTCATTATTATGGCAATAGGCAGCAATAATGGCATTATCTCATTTTACGGCTCAAAAAAGTACGGAAAAAAAAATCACCCCAGCCTAATTGTATGGACGTATTCAGATTCAATTAAATACAGAAAATGAAACGGAGCCGGTGAAAGAGCGCATAAACAGAGACCATGCAGAAACTCATTATGAAATCATCAATACCAGAATCACACAAATTAGTTGCTCCTTCTGCCGTCTTTTGTGGGGCAGCAGCCAGGGCCGTAATAGTCAAGCTAAATTAAATTTTAATGTGTTTTTGATAAGCTTTGTCCATCTCTTTTGGCTTTGTAAACTTGCTCAGAAAGGTGATGTAATTGTCTGTCCAGATGAAACGAGTCGAGGGAGGTGTCAACTGAAAATCTGACGTGCCTTAATTGCTGTTTAATGTTCTGACAGCAAAGCGTCACACTGATTCGGTGGCTTTCTCCAGTTTTAAAAATGAGAAATCCACAATAGAAGCTACTCAGTTCATGCCACTGGTTATAGATATAAGTATTAGTCATAAAGTAATATAATTGTATAATTAAGCAATATGTTTATAAATGAAAACCTTATTCTCCTGATGGTTCTTTTAGGTAACCGGCCATGTGTGGTGCTGACAGCAAGAGTTCATCCAGGCGAGAGCAATGCCAGCTGGGTACTGAAGGGCACGCTGGAGTTCCTGTGTAGCAGTGATCCTGTGGCCGAGAGCTTGAGAGAGGCCTACATCTTCAAAATCATCCCCATGCTCAACCCTGACGGGGTCATTAATGGCAAGTATGTACACATGCATGCACATTGTGCAAAATGACTTCATTTATCACTTTCAAAACTTTAAATTTGGGGGGGGGGGGGGGGGGGGGGGGGGATAAACCTTTGCATTCGGTTCCATTTTGTTGAGCAGCGTCTAGCTGTCTTTGAATGCAAGAACGCGTGCTGTAATACTGGCACCTTTGCTGTTTGTGTGTTGTTTGATCTCGGGAAGGGTTGAATGAGGAGGAACATTGTTCGACAATTTTTGTATGGTTGTATGAAGGTTGTACTTTGAGCTTGATTTGCTCTTACGCAATAAATCTACAGATCAGGGGTATGATTCATTTGTGGTTTTTGTTTTTATTATTTAGGAGTAAATCCCCCAAATTATAGTTTTTTGTGACTTTCATTTATTTTATTTCTTTATATAATAATAATAATAACAACATATAATTTCATATACATATAATTTATTTTATATATATATATAATTTTTATTTCATAATTCACTTAATTTTTTTTTACTGAAACGGACTTAAACTTTTCACACTTATTTAACATGGCCCTACAAAAAAAATAAAAAAAATAAACATTTTCATTCGGTTGCAGATTTTGATGTCAGATGTAGATTCAGATATCCAGATTTTGATGTGGTCCATGATTCTGAATCTGGTTTTGATGGCCTGGTAAAAAAAAAAAAAAGCTTTTTAATACTAGAATGATTTGTATATATATATATATATTTTTTTTTTTTTATAATTTATTCACATGTATGAATGTGAGGTTTTACTTTTTCTTTTCTTCTTCTTTTTTCCAACAACTCAGTGACAGGTCACAAAGATGTCAAACCATGTCGGTTTAAACTAAAAATCTTTCCATCACAGCCTCCAGCTTATATGTAACCTCTCGTCATCATATGAGTAGTAGGTCCCTGCGTTTGGCACAATAATATTAATGATTGCCTTGGGCATCTGTAAGCAGGCTATTTCTTCCTGTCTGAACGTTCAGTCACCATCTTGTCCAACTGAGCTGCACACATTAAAGCAGTCACCTTTTTGCCCTTGGAATTGAGTGCTGAAATGAAAAAGACAAATGCCAGCATGTTTTAATCTACAGGATATCGCCATACCTCCCCTGCTGTTCTGAGCTAGATAGTATTTACATGTGTAAAACCAATACAGAGGTCAACTCTGTGCCTGAGCCTATTTAACAGCTCTCCGCCCCGGCTTATCAACACTCTATTCACAGTCAGGGAATAATCGATTCTCCTCACGGCCGAGGGTGACCTGATTTCCTCGCCGAGAGACTGGGGTCTCCTCCGTTGCGTGGCCTCCCCCTTATCTCCAGTCATGTGTACAGGAGCTTCTGTATGCCGTGCTATTGATCAGGCATGCTAACTGTATTAGAGAGGATGCTCAGAGAATGGAGGTGTAGATCAGTGGGCGGCGAGTTAAAGGAGACTCACTCTTTCCATCCGAGCGTGGATTTATTCCTCTAGTAACCTCATAACAAGCGTGTCGATGAATTCCGACATGATCTCCTGAAGTTATGGGCTCCAAGTTTGGATATGTGCAATAATCAGAAGGGTTATGGCTCTTTTATGGACAAGAGAGTAGGGGAAGTGGGGTAGAGACACAAGTGCAAATAGCCCACCTTGTTGGCAGAGGCTATTCACAGTAACTCTGCTCACCATTATCTGATTGAGTAGAGTAAGGTAGGTGGTGTTAGCTCTTGGCAAGTTCGATCCAAGTTCGAATCCACCTTTTTCCTATTGCATATCATCTCGGAGAGAAATTTAATTATTCATTTAAATAAAAATATTCGAAAAGTGGAAATAAAGTGCCTAATGGGTATTGCATATTGTGAATAACATGTGTAAAGAGTAGGGGAGGGCTTTAGGGATAGGGACAAGTAATGACCCAATAAGGCAGCATCCATTAATGATTTTAATAAATATAATCATATACACTGAATATTATTGCATACTGTTTTATAATATACTACAATACAGTGAGGTGCAAATAGTATCTGCCTAAAGTTGCACTAAGAATAAATGGCATTTAACTACTATTTACACTTTGTGCAAAGAAAATACTGCTATTTTCACTTAGTGTAAATTGTGGCAGATACTATTTGTACTTAAGTGTAAATAGTATCTTAAAAGCTGCTGCCAAAATTAAATTCTGTCATTATTTACCCTCATGTTGTTTCCAAAATTGTATGACTTTCTTCTGTGGAAAACGAAAGATTTGGTCAAATTTTTGATGTTTTGGACCCCATTGACTTTCACTGTATGGACAAAAACACTTGAAACATTCTTCAAACTATCTTCTTTTTTGTTCCACAGAAGAAAAGTTATACAGGTTTGGAACGACATGAGGGTGAGTAAATACATTTTCATTTTTAGGTCATTTTTCACAGCATTTGCACCAATGCAATCCCAGACTCTTATTGAAACCATTTAGTTTTTGTTTTCCCATCAGCCCCTACAAATTACGGTGACAAATTTAAAGCGCCAATTCACCTTAAGGGTATTACTTCCTGTATGGGTAATGGGTATAGCCTTTAAAAGTTCAGGGCAGCTTGTTGCTTGGTGACAGGTCTGAGGTAAGTAGGAAAGCGTTCGATGCCTTAAGCGCTGATCTCACATCCTCAATAACACAGATGCATTGCTGTTGGTGCAGTTAGAAAGCAACATTGATATATGCATTGTGTATTTACTGTAGATAAATACATTTGTAGTTTTATTCAATTTGTCACTGTTAGTGTGTTCAAAGCCTAAAAGTTTAGCAACAGAATGCACAAATGCACTTGCAAAAAGTCCACCGCATACTAACAAAGCTGCAGAGCTCACCTTTAAGATTGGACATCTTCTAAATATGGGCACTTTCGTCAGATTCATTTATATGGTAATGCAGTATTGCATAGATATAAATACAGCGGTGTTGCAAGCCCTTTGAAATGGAAATGACAATGTGTGAAAAGGTCACATTTGCTTCCATCAAATTCATCACAGACTTTAGAAGTTTTGAAGGGAATATCCATAATGTAGGTCAAGGGGTCTGATATTTTGTGAAACCCTCTGTCTGTTTGGAATTGTATTTTAACAACAAGGAAAAAGTGTTTATGGAGATGTGAAAGCGGCGATCATTGTGAAATGCTATTAGCACAAACCGTTTTATAATACTGTTTGATAATATAATACGATTATGATTACTTCAAACTCCTATTTGTGGCTTATTGCCCGTACAATTAGATAATGATCAGTAATGGCTTGTTATATAGAATACTTATGTTTAAGAACAAATTGTCATCAAATTAGCATTATATAGGCCATCATTTACTTCAGAAAGGCGCAATGTAGCTTTTGTTTGTGGCTAGATTTACAATATATTCGTTTTAAACCACTCAAATCTGTACAACCACCCGAGAGAAGCACGCAGCTGTACACATTTTTCAAGTTTGTTGATAAAACAGTGTGAAGTTTAGCTCTCTCGGTGCTGTTTATGTAGCATGTAGCATTAGCATTCACAGAGATCTGTGTGATTCTCTTGTTGAGATTGGAAAAAGACAATGCATTCAGCAATCTTTTGTTGACTGCAGGGACTAAGAGATGTGAACGGATGTGACTTGTGACAAACAGCAGTTTGGCGTCTAGTGTTATCGTGCCGAGCGACACATTGGGGGGCGAGATTACAGAGCTCACTTCCTGCTCTGGCTTAGCATGGGACAAAACAAGAAAGGTGTGAACAGACTCCGGCATTCTGAGGTTATGTTTTCATCTCCGGGTGTATTCATCACAGAGGCTGTTGTCAGAAGCGTCTCTTGGTAATGTCAAATAGAATTGGGTTTCCGACATTGTGAACTCCCATACGAATTGCACATCAGCTGCACATAGCCTGCGGCGTCGTGTCCCAGTGTTCCTGATCAGCTTCCCTGTTCATACTGCTTACAATAGAAGCTGGACTGGTAAACATGAAGCATTGATAAATTATGTATTTGGACTTCACAATTATTCAAAATCAGAGTGACTTTTAGTGTGACACTTAGTCTGTGTGTTACATTTTAGGCATAATATTGATCAAATTTACTTAGCAGAGGACAGTCAGGTTATAAGGGTGACTAGTTTATCTTTCTTTTCTCAAATTCGTGCCCTAATTTTAGCTTCAGTGTTTTGCGCAACAGTGCTTTAAAGGGTTGAATTTAGAGACACAACTTCTCAGAGGCATTTAGCAGGTTTTCAGTGAGTTGTGCTTTAGCATACTGAAACTGAAGTGGCGTTTCTAAAAGGTTGAAGCTAAGCTAATAGTGAGTTGGTGGACAACTAGTCAAATTCAAATTTAAACCACCTTAACAAGTTGAAAGTTATGGATATGATGCTAAATTATCCTAAGAGGACATTCACAGAGAGAATGTTTTTTTGAGCCGGAGGGCAGTCAAATAGGGGGGAAAATGCAAGGTCTAGAGACAAGTTTTTTTAAAGTGAACTTTTGACTTAAGCACTGCATTTTTAAAACATTGTGTCATGTACAATAGATGCAAAACGTAAGTGCAGCAGTCGAATATGTCCATCTAGCTAGCCCTGTCGGGATAATCAATATATCGACTTATTACACAAAATATGGACATGACCTTGATCATTTTTGGTAACGCGATATATTACCCATTATGTTTACAGAAACAGCAACATTTTGCCCATCGTGCTGTCTCTGTCATCTTATTTGCTCTCCGAGTCAGAGGTGTCAGGCAGCTCCTTCATAGTTCCCACAGGCCAATTAATGTCACGTGACCTCCCCGGAGACGCCATCTTTGAGGGCATAAGCTGCTCTGTTTACAAAGTTTTACAAGCAAATTTTGAATATTTCTTTCGGTTTATAATGTTACGAAAATCATGAAGAGACAAAGTGGCAGAGATTATAAAGAGACTCTATTAACACAAGACAGAGAGAGGTACAATGCGAAAATTTCAGTCATAAATGGTGTGGAGGAAGCACCGAGCACTGATTATGCAGCTTTGCCTCATA